ATGCAGCAGAACTGCACGGCTGTAGAGAAATCACAGTGTTTATTCTTTAAATAGAAGCTCCAAAAGTCAGTGACAGGGCGAGCTGAGGAGCAGCAGGCGAGCCAACTGTGAATCACAGCTGTCACACAGCCACGCAACAAACTTCAAAGCCTTAATAAGCCTTCAGATCTTATTAAGGGAGCAATAATTTCCAAAATGACCACCAGCGCACTTGTTACAGGGCCTGAATTTGGTGGCGGAGACTCTAATGACTTGCTGAAAAGAAATGATTGATTTTCTTGGGAGGAGTTGCTGTGAAAAAGGGAGCCAATAGGAGGCGGTAGTTTTTTGCACTTTAAGGTGCAGTGTTTTAGCCTTAACTTCAAGCAGATCAGCCGCTGAGCCCTTACATGTTTTAAAAGTTGAACAAAGGTCGCAATCATGTTTTCTAACCATTGCAGGAACCCTCCGCGGGATCCCTCATAGGTTTCCTGATACTAAAGCTCCGTCCAGTGGTTCGAGCTGCCATCTTGACAGTACCGATGGAAAAATTAGCAAAAAGGTGGAGCGTGAGCCAAGTGAAGGTGGGCCACGGACTGTCCTGTGAAAGTACCTCTCATGTAAAGCAGCCACATCCCCAATTAACTTTAAGCCTTAAAATAATTTAATTACATAAGCTATTTAAAATTCACTCAGTTGTCATGAACTGGGAAATGAGTTATAGAGACTGAGGCCATTTTCTGTACCAGGCTATTAACATGTTTATTTCTGTTTTAAAGTTGGACTTTTTATTATGTGGGGACTGACTCACTTCTGGAGCCCAACTCAAGTGGACATTTGAGGAAATGCAGATTTTGGCAGCCGGCTTCAGGTTGCTGCTCGTTTCCTACATGCATCAACCACTGTGTTCAAACAAGAAGTGTCTGAGCTTTAAGTTTGATCCTTGAATCCTGAGCCGTCTTTCACACAGTGAGGATGTACTACATGGTGGGTGTGCTATTGTTAACCCTATTCAGGACTTTTGGGGTCTTTTGGACCCAAGGCCAGTTGGTTTAGATGACAGGTATTATTTTTTTATTTTTGAAGATTTTTTTTTTTATATTAAAAGAGGAACTTTTGTCATGCATTTGGAACCAAAAATACATCAACTTTTTTGAAAATGTATTTAACATAGTTTAAAAGTCTATAATGAATACCAACAAATATTTTGTGAATCTTCTTTCTTGGGGTCCAGTGGACCCTGAAAGACCTTCTATGTGTGACAACATGAAAGTCCTGAATAGGGTTAAATGAACTTANACCAGCTGTCTTTGCGGCTGAAGCTCCTGCCATCCGTGTCCTCACAATTCACACTCTTTTAACTCGTCTTTTTGTCGTCTTGCCATTGCGATACAAAATCCAAGTCAATCTGATAAATCTAATCAGTTGGATCAGTCCTGGTTACACAGTTTGGAGGTTAATCTTAAGTTAAAAACACATGTTTAGTCCATTTTAGGGCTTTCCTGTAATGAAGCTGAATAATCTTTCATGGAAGATTAGTGACCAAGGTGCAAAAAAAAAAAAAAAAAGGGGGCATTTTTCATTTCATGGGGACTTTAACTGGGAGATGTTCTTACATAAGCTGCAGTCACACATGCACATTTTAGAGTTCAGGTTAGGTTTACTTCATATTTACCAGTTCGTGTGCTGCGGCAGATAGTGTATTAATTAAGTCGGAAAGTCACAGTGGATCAGTAAATATGCAGCGGATGAGGATTCCTGTGCCAGTTTTTTCTTTTTTCTCTCTCTCTCTCTGCAGTGCTAGAGGCGTGAGAGTGAAAGAGCAGTGCAGGTGTCAAAGCACTCGTCTTTCTTCAGCACACACCTTAATCCCCCCACAGCCCCTTCATCGCTCCCCTCCTGAGATCATTTACATATCAAGGTTGCAGGTATGTGTGAATGGACGTGACTTACCAACTCGGTGCTGAAAGAGAGGAGAAAGGGATTTAATTGAACTCTGGCTTCTTGAAGAATCATTTGCATTAATGTTTTTTACACGCAGAGTGACACTGTACTGTCTTCAGCAGAGCTCCGGGGGGATTTCTTTGCCACCAGATGAGAGGCTCTTGTTTGCTCTCAAACAACACTGTTGGAAGTTACCAGCAGCAGGCAGGGAGGAGGTGCACGAGCACAGATTGATGGGTGATTGTTAGGCTGATTACAATCAGATTTGCAGGTACGCTGCAAGGTAATGAAGCTCGGTGGCTAATAACGCAGCGCTGATATTTGATAAGAAACCTCATTTAAACTCAAAGACGAGACGCTCAAAGTGTGTTCTGGGTGTGATCGCTTCTGCAAAAGGTCAGTTTGCTGTTTGGGATGATGACGGTGGGGGAGAGTTCGAAAAAGACGAATATTTGAAAAGATCAAGTTTTAATATTTGTTGAAGTTGGAGGATGTTTACATAGACCGCAGCTTTGAAGCTTAAAACTGTAGCTAATGATTGGAGCTGTGATTTCTGTTTGGAGCCATACGGAGTGAGTGTGTGGGGTGTTAATTAAAATGAATAATGGCTGACTGTAAACACCAACCGGCTGAAACGTGGCTAAATGCTACTTCACAAAAAGAATAGTTATAGTCACTCTCCTGTCATTAATTAAACCCCTAACGAAGTCATCTCTGTGTATCAGTTACCTTATTTTTTCCATGAAAATAATCCCTTTCTGCCGTAAAANGACAGATGCCGTCTTCACTTAGAGATGATGGATGTTGCTGTAAAGAAGGTACAAATTGTAAAATGTGGATGATTCAGACACCCAGCAGCAAAGAACATCTATCTACAGATTTAAGGGAGGAACCCAGGATTAGTCTGAGAATCTCACTTCCTGTTCCTGAGTTATAGTGTTGAACAACAGTCAACAATATCACAGTAAAGCTGACCTGCAACCTTTTGGATATAACATTTTATCATTATTTTATCCTGTTGGACATTTGTGTGAAATTTTGTTAGAATCAACGTATAAATTCTGGAGTTATGGTCAAAAACGTGTCTTGTGAGGTCGTACTTATGGAGTCATGACAGCGCGTACCAACAGACTAGAAGCAGCGTTTCCCCTTTCCACCATGACACTCCCAGTTTACGGACTCATTCTAACAAATGCTCTTTTGCACTTTCAATGGAGTATTTATTTGATTGCTATTTTATTATTTATATCACCTTTTAACTTTTTCTCTTAGACTGTGACCATATTTGCTGCTGCAAAGATGATGCCAACAACATTTTGTTGTATTTCTTGTACAATTACAATAAAGCTTCTTCGTCTTCTTCTTCTTCTTCAGTCCATTTCAGACATGACTGTGTAATTTCTTAAAGCTGCAATAATCAATATTTTTTGTTCTACAATAGAGCAAATTACTATTTGTAATCTGAAGAAGACCACTCATGGACAAACCCAGAGAGAATGTCACCAAACTTGAAGATTTATTCAGTCCAACGTAACTTCTTTGTCTCTTTAAGCTCATTGCTTTTGTTTGCATGTCCACGAATTTACTCGTCCATCTTTCTACTGTCGTTCACCTTGTTTCCAGCAGCAGACAGGCAGAGGTTCTGTTTTGAGCAGTTCATGATCATAACAGGGCAAAGTCAACACCCTAAAAAGCTCCCGTAAAAACTTCTTCTTCTTCTTCTTCTTCTTCTTCTTCTTTCTTCCTGAATTGTTTTTTGTTCGTGTAACCAACACAGATGCTTTGAAAACAAATTATGTCCAAATGGTGTTAATAAATATTCAGCTATCGTGGGCTTTGAAAGTGGAGATATGGTAAGAGGCTCTCTGGACTGGATCCTTAAGAGGTTTTCAAGTAAAGTTCTGCAGTTTCACTAAATATTTTACACACATTGTATATTTTTTAAAGCCTTTGATAAGGTGCTCGTATCATAAAAGCAAAATATTTCTCTTTTGTCATTTAATCAACTTGTACAAAAATGCCTGGCCAAGCTGTTGTCCTTGACAGTCTGGCTTGTATCTTCTCAGATGTATTACAAAACACTGTAAAGACTTGCCCTTGTTCACTTGTTGGCCCCTTTGGAAAATCACCAAATCCTCATCAGTTCTTTCTTAAATTTGAAGCACTTCTCTGATAGACAACAAGAAAAAAACTGACTCCATCCATGGTTGTCACCAACACAAAACCTCAGACTTTGCTTTCTTAGAATGATATTATTAAAGAATATAAAGGATTGTACTTTACCAGACATTAACTTTAAAGTGTTTTATCATTATTTTTTTTTGCCAAATTGTCTGTGCACTTGTATAAATACAAACTCACTTTAAATGAGTTTAAGTGAAGCGGCAGCGTGAATAAAAACAAAGTGCTTCCTGATGCCATCATGTTGCCAAAAGGCCCAAACATAATGTTCCGGTCAAGAGGAGAAGTACAAGCTGATCTTACCAACACTGGACTTTCTCATGTCCGGTGTGTGCTTTCTTACTGATAAACCTCCGTTCAGCTCTTCTGGGACCGGCGGTGACCTAACAGTTGCCAGATGGACACACAATGAGTAACACAGTAAACAGTAAATCAGCATCGCTGTGGGTGTACTCGTTAACTCCCAGCGCATTAACGAGTACTAAAACAGACAAACAGACAGTTGTACGGGAAAGTGGCCTTAAATTTGTTTTGACATTTCATGCTCACATGATCAGTGTCGGCGTCGATTCGGTCCAATCGCAGGCTGTAAATCAACTGTAAATATGTCCTGCTGTACCAACAACCTGCAAGGTATCACTGGACAACAACAAGGGGTTCAGTAATCCATCTCCATATAACTTCAGTGCTTAAAACAATTATTAGTCAGCGATGTTTTTTCTCAGTAATTACAGTTTATGGATTTTGAAAAATGCAAATGTCAGACTTGAGCTTCCCAAAAAGCTGCAGTAATAAAGGTCATCTCAGTAAGCCAGATGAATGAAGACGAATAAACGTTGGTAATGGCCGGGATAGACGAATGACAACAATTAGAATAATGTCAAAGTGAACAAAGGTTGCCTTCTTCTAACATTTATTTACAGCAATATTGTGTCACACATAATGTGGCTAATCTAAGACAGCAAAAAAATCATCAATAATTCAGTGTGATGGCACAAAAAAAGTCCATACAGCAGTGGAGGTCGTTTGGTTTTTATGTGTGCCCGACTGGCTGCATCCAGGTACGGTCCTGTAAACACACTGTTAAACATCAAATGTCTGATTGAAAGTCAGAATGAACGGGCATTTCTTGTGAAGTAGGTGCTACTGGGACATGCAGGCTGGCTGTGGAGCTGTGCTGCTAACACCTTTACTTGTGTCTACCTTGACTAGATTGTAGCACTGCGCTAAAGCAGCTGTCCAGCTGGCTGCCGTTTAGCAAACCATCGGTCAACAAGCTAACCATCTGTGCTGCCCCTGAACAACAAGTAAACTTGGTGAATTCAAGGCTGCACATTGACCTGATCCACACCTGACGTACAAACTTACAACCTACGGAGCAGTTCACACTCTGATCTGATCAGGGCCACATGAAACCGGATGCACAGATAATAAGATACTTGCTCCATTCTGTGAACTCTCCAGCTGCATGCCCTCAACGATCGGCATCATCAGCGTGCGTTGCTATTGGTCAGTGGTTCAAACTCTTGTGTCAGGGTTCAACTTAACCAGACAGCTCTGAGCAATTTACTTCATGAGCCTCTGTGAGTGAGTGCACTGACTGATTCCTGGAAAACGAACTGATTTTATTGTTGTGAATGTTAAGTTATGCTCAGACAGGACCTTCTGCCTCACACTACTTGTGTAGATTTGCAGCACAGTTTGTTGGGTCTGCTTTTATTAGTCCCAAACAGCCAGTGTGTCAGCTCTACAAATGCAGTAACCTTTAACAAAACGATATTTACATGTCATTCAAATCATAAGGCTGTTGTATTTACACACATCAACAACAACAAGATGCTCCATCCTTTATTCATGAGGTTCTGGAGGCCCTAGGCCCCGGCCTGCAGCGGGGCGTCGAGGGCTCTCATGTGGACACTGGGCAGAGTGAACCAGGCTAAAGGAAGCTCCCGTCCGGCGCTGTCGTCTTGGAACTTAATGTTAAGGAAGAAGTCTCCGGTGTAGAGGAAGAGCAGAGCGCCCTCGCACACAGAACTCTCTTTGGGTTTAACCTGGAGAAACAGAAGAGACGCAGTCAGCCGGCATCGACTCCAGCTGGGAGTCAGTTTTCCTTTGCTTTGATAAAAAAAAGGTGCAGACAAGCGTTCCTTCAGCTGAGAACAATTCCCCAAATTAAATTGTTTTGCACATTCACATGAGGGATCCATCCATTCTTTCATCTTCTTATTAAACTCCCAACTCTTTGTTCTGGCACAAACCAAGTCTTTCTCGATTGCCTGCAGCTTCGTCAACATTCAGGAGTTTGTTACGTAAAGACTCCCTTCTAGGATCCCCGCTCTGCTGAGGTTATTTTTAATTTAAAGATTTCAGTTTGTGATATTTCTGTTTTTGTGGGTTTAGCCCATTTTGCTGTAGATAGTTTGTTTTTTCCCCTCCCTTCTAGACAGCTGTTGCTTTCTTGTATTTCAAGCAACAACAGCGATTTCCATAATGCATCAAAACAAGCGTCATGTCTGCCGCCATTGCTGCCAAAGGTGCAGGATGTTAATGTGCATGTTATAGCGAGCACAATGAATGAATGTGAGCCAATGGCTGCCTGGAGAGGAGGAAAAAATACATCTAAAATTTAAAACAATGTTCTGCTTTAATTGATGCTATCGTGTTTGTTCATATTAACATGCAGTAAATGATACACGACAATGTAGCTGTTAGCAGATACACAGCTTTTGTGCTTTTAAAAAAAATATCTCTCAACCCAGCTGGCGGGTTTGAAATGCATGTTTAAAAAAGAAAAAAAAGGCAAATTTTTATCATTTATCAGAGTCAGAAACTGAAAAAACAAGATAAATCTGTCTGATTCTTATCGATGGCGTGTAAACTAATCATGTGTGAAGCACAGTTCCATCTGGAATATTACACAGAACGAAGCTTAAAATGCTCATGTTTCATTTAAATCACCTCATTCTTCGTTGATTTCAGAAATAAACTTGTTGGCAGCTGATCCTGTTAAATGCTAAACTTCTCTATGCAACTGAGAAACCATGACTGACTCAGCGGCAATCAGAAGTCAAGAGCAGAGATGAGACAAGTAGTGAAATATGAACAGTATGTAGAGTCACCGTTTGTGTCCAGCGTATGCAACACCTGAAGCTGAATATGTTGACTTTAAGGTTTTTCAATCTTTCTTTGTTTTTATGATTTACACGTTGCATTTGTCAACACAGCTCCATCCAACTAAACTGTAGTGTTGGTGCCATTCTCTATTCGATGATTTATGTTCATGTTTAGTTATTCTTTTTTGGATGTGTTTGGTACCTGCTTTTGGTTTTGGGGCTTGGAGTTTCTGGAGTGGGCAGCCGGTGGGAGCTGACGCTGAGCGGTGGCGTGCAGGAGCTCGCGCATCGATTGGATGGTGATGCTGTGTGTTTGTTCTATGTGAAATTGTTCATTAAAGACGGGGCGAACACACCGTTTTCTACCGTCGTTCAACTAAAACACGAGTAGACTCGTTCTTTCCGTCCGACCGAGTGGTTATTTGCTTATGGACTTTAAGAACAGACATTTAGCCACTACATGTAGTATGTTATAAACCACTTATTAAACTACTGTGTGCTGCAGCAATAAGAATGCTGGTCTGTGCAATTTCAAGTAAATCGTCACCAATGTTGCTTTCACTGTTTTTCGTAGACATTTTGAGTTACAATTTTTTGTGACACCATTTTAAAATCTGTTTTTTTGAAATGTGATGCAACTGTGTGTTCAGTATGACCTCTTCTGCTGTGAGCTTTCAGTATTAAACTTTTCACAACAACTTGAAGCATTCTGGCTACATAATGTGACATAACTTGGCTTAACATCTCAGCTGTTTGCTACGGTGCTCCCGCCCCGACTGACCGTGTCGATGTAGAAGGTGTTGGAGCCGATGAAGGTGACCCCGTCCTCCAGGTCGTAGTTCTGCACTCCGTTCTGGTAGTCCTGATAGGGCACCACGGTCAGAGCCAGAGGGCCCACCGAGTTCTTGCTCAGATTGGTGAGTTTCACCTCCAGGGTTACGGCGTCGCCCACTTTACAGTCGGCGATGACGTCGCAGTCACATGGCTTCCCATTCACCAGCACATCTGGAAGCAGGAACAAAGAAAGGAGAGGATTAGCACTGGCAGGAGTGAAAGGGACTTTTCTTTTGTCAAATGGTTTGTGCAAAAATGGAGCTGTGAGGAATTTGGCAGGCAAGAATAAAGACCTTTCAAACCAATATTCAGATCTCGGTGCACGGTCATTCACAGCATTCCCATCCAATCTCCACTTCATTTGTATTCATCAAAACCCAACCCGACCATTAATGGCCTATCATACTGTGTCTCGTGGAGGATCAATAAGCTTTGTTTGTTCTAAAATACATTTTATTGACGTCAGCGGAGAGTGCCGGAGCTGTGGGTATTAAACTGAATTCCCTTCTGTTAATCTCATGCATGACTAATTTCTGTCTTGAAGGGACGAATTAGATTGTTGGAACAATCCCAACGCGCTGCACACACACACACACACACACACACACACACACACACACACACGCCATTCAGAAGTACATATCTCCCTACTCACATGGCTCTACCTCCCCCCCCCTCTCTCTCCTGTCACAACCAGCCGAGAAACACTGAGTGAGTTCAATTCAATTCCTCTAATGTGTGGCCACTGGCTCCTGATGTGGCCCCTATTTGGCTAAGGTGCAGAGGGAGACACAATGATTTGTTTTGAACAACGAGCTCAGTGAACTGAGCGCCTCGACGCTCCTGGCGGGCCGAGGAAAAGACTGACTCCGAACATGGGGGAATTCAGGGGCGCCCAAAAAGATCACCCGAGTAATGACTCCTCCGAGAATAACAACACACACACACACACACACACACACACACACACACACAACCGCACGCACGCCAACCGGTTGTCATACGCTTTCTAGTGTCACGCCCGTGGCTGTGATAAACACTGAGTCAGAGCGGCTGAGCCTGTGTGACAGCCTGATGAAAGACACGAGCTGCGTTCGGTGCTGCTGGTGTGCCGATCTGTTGCGTACAGCGAGAGGTGGAGGTCGAGGGGAGGGGGGGGAGTATGAAGATAGAGAGATGATCCAGCTGGGGGGGACGAGGGGAGGTGGAGGGTTGGGAGTGGGCGGCTGAGGCCGTGCTGTCACAGTGAGCGAGAGAGCCCCGGGGAGGCTGGAGCTACAGGAGGGTGACATTCAGCTTCACGTCTGTATTAAAAACACACTTCACTCAATGCAGACAAGCAGAAGCACGCACGCTGGGACTCAGAAGAGCTCTTCAAAAATAAAGTATAACAAAATTGATGAAAATGTCTCTGAGTTTGATGTGATAAATCCATTTGCTGACACTGACTTTTATTAAAATGCTTTTAATTGCTGGATTATCCTCCAGTTACATCCTGGACAGGGTTTTTTTCCACACCGCTTCTTTACTAAGTGAAGACACTGGTTTCACTGGGATCCTTTGACACCACATATGCATGGAAAATCTAAAGTAATTAAATATTGTTGATCTCTTTAGCTGTAACAGAAGAATGAACATGTATGTTTTTGCGATGAAGAGGTTGCTTATCAAACCTGAATATGAGTGTGATTTCCCACTGCTAAACAACAACAACAACAACAACAACAACAACAACAACATAGCATCAGGTCTACCAAAGAGGGCAACCAAAAGTCTGTCATCCATCCATTATCTATACACCGCTTAATCCTCACCAGGGTCATGGGGGGCTGGAGCCTATCCCAGCTGACTCAGGGTGAAGGCAGGGGACACCCTGGACAGGTCACCAGTCTATCACAAGGCTACACTTAGAGACAGACAACCAAGCACACTCACATTCACACCTACAGACAATTTAGAATCACCAATTAACCTCAACATGTTTTTGGACTGTATGGGAGGAAGCCGGAGAACCTGGAGAGAACCCACGCTACACGGGGAGAACCTGCAAACTACACGCAGAAAGATTCCGGTGCCCCCACCGGGACGCGAACCGGCGACCTTCTTGCTGCGAGGCAACAGTGCTGTCAACTGCACCACCCTGTAGCCCCAAAGTCTGTCAAGTGCGACTTAGCGTTTCCATTGGTTGCACCAGTGTGCTTGACATTTAACAGGACCGTCTGTGCGTGTCTCTGGAGGGCCTGTTCAGATAAAACCACTTTGTTTCAACTATCTTCTTTCACTCTCATCAAGCTAATTTTTGGCCACATTCCTGTCTGAGCTGCTGCACTGCAGTAACTGAGGGGAGACTAGAGGCTTCTGTGTGCACAGCCACACAGCAGTGTTGTTAAGAAACATCTATAAATTTTCGTGTCTCCTAATGCTTGTGAAGAGTTTGGGCGCATTGGTAGATTGCAGTGTCTACCAACAGTCTGCATGTGAGGCATTAAGGAGATCTCTCCAGAAAACAACCCGAGCTGCACTCTCCTTCTCTAAACTGCATGAGGCTCTGTCTACACATCAGTCAAGCCACGCCACCCACCACCATAAATAAATTCTCAACCTGCGGAAACACTGTGGCCAACATTATGCCTTGCATTTATTGCCGGGAGTGCAGCCAAAGAAAGGCTGGGAACAGAGCTTTTGCTGTCAGATCACTGACATTCCGAATTGAAAAAAAAAAAAAAAAGCACACTGTCTCCAAGAAACCAGTCCTGTGCCATGACAGGTGCACGACCAGCAGAGCAGCCGCCCTCCACGAAGGGTTTCAGCACCAGGCAGCAGCTAACTGAAGCACCGACAAATCAGAAATTATAATAAAACAGCTTCGCATATTACCGAAAAAGAGCTACATTTGACTAACGTTAAGTCATCTTTATTAAAAAAGAACATATTGAATGTACAAAACAGGCATCTGCACCTTTATCCCTGTTTACAATAAGTTCGGTAACATGTTGAGGAATTTCCAAAGTTTGTGTGGGAGCTGCCAAAAAGGTTACATTTCTATAAATAAAATATTATTTGCGGCAATTTCGGTGCACTTAAATGATAAAGTTACCAATGGAAAAAGTACATCTGGTGACCTTAGCTCCATACTGACACACACATAGCGACTCAGAGGAGTTCTTCTTTTTTCTTTCTTCGTTTTCACATTGAAAGAAACAACAAACTTCCAATCAATATTTACTCAGCATTTAAATTTTTGCTGTGGTTTATTCAGAGAAAATGCTGGATTAAAAACAACTTATTAACGCAGCAAGAAACACAACAATAAGAAACACGCAAAGTGCTCAGGCACGATGCTGACCGCTGAAGCCTCTGCATGATGGAAATGGCTCAGAATTTTTTTTGTCAGGCTTCTTTGAAAAAAGGTGACGTTGGGCTGGGTTTCAACAGATTTCTTCCGGAAGAATGTGGCCAAAGTGTATAGACTGCATTAACACCTGGGTGTGATCCAATCTGCAAGCAGACCAGATCCAGACATGGTCTGGCTGCTGATGCACTCCAACTCTCTCCGTCATGTGCTCTGCATGCATTCTCAACCAGCACTCACATGCCTTTAGAGAACAGACACAGATTGTATGCAAGGCGTAAATGAGGTAATTTTTTTTTTGTTAATTTGGTAATCACATGCATGAGAAATATTGCCCTTGGATAGCATTGATATGAGTCATGTCCACTAACCACTGTGCCTTTTCCAAAACATGAGATCAGTCTGCAGAAGCTGCAGCTCTGTGATACAGTCATCGTCTGATTGCAGGCCTCTCGCTGCTCGGTGAGAAAAGGCAAAGTAAGTCGGTTTAGCCACGGATACATGTATTCCCAATGTTCCCTAAACTACACATCTGGCTGCGCTGATGTTCTTGTTGCAGTTCAAACATCTTTTCAACTGTCTCTCGCTGCTGTCAACTGCATATGGAAAATTATTGATTTCTGCTTTTGCAGGGAGCTACGTGGTGACGGTGCATTCAGACGCTCACATAACACAATCCTATCATAGCCTGTAACGCTCAGCCTATAGTGACACCTTAGCAAGTAGTTATATATAGTTTGTTCAAAGTCTTGTTGCTAGGAGATGTGCAAATTATAGGTAGCCTACATTGGCTCTAAAATTGGAAATAAATTCTTTCACATCAAAAGCGAACAAAAGAGGATGGTTAGTCTGTAATGAGCTGATGAACTCCCACACACATGCAGCTCAGTCACACACACCCACAGCTCGAACACTTGCTACAGAGTTTCTCTGCTGCGTTGTCCTGAATTGTGTATCAGCACAGAGAGGCAATCAACTGCCTTAGATAACCAACAGAAAAGCAAGCAGTGGGAAGAAACAGTGGTCTCCAGTGAGAAAAAAAAAAAAAAACTGCTCAGAAATACATGCAATTACTTATTATTATTATGAAGGACAACTATTATAGTAAAACACACGAGATAAGATGCCACTAGCTAATATTCATATTTACACAACACCACACACAGCACATCTTTGTATCTCCCCCAGAGAGGACTCTAAAGGTCATGACAAAGTGCAGCTTTTTAAAAGCATCTGCTGTGTGCGTTTCCTCGTGTGCAGAGCTGAGTGCACCGATGCTCTCTCGTTTACCTCCACAGCCCTCTGCAAAGTAGCTGTGCGGAGGAATGAAGCGTGCCTGGAGGCTGAGAAAGCACAGGTTACATCCCCGAGGCTCGCAGACGGAAATTTTCAGGGATTTTTAAAAAATATTAGATTGTGATTTTTACAACGAACATTGCGATTTAAATTTTGAAAGTTATTCATAGAGTAAAATAGAGTCCCGTCTTTGTGGGTCTACCTGGAACTTCAAACATTTTCTTTGTTGCTTCTTGTATAAGTAAAAAGTTAACATTATGTGAACTAAACTTGGAGAGTTTTTTTGCTTTTTAAACAGCTTTGCTATCATTTATTACAAAATAATGCTTGACAGAATTCATTAGCATTTATGAAGAAAGTAAATATATCGACCTGGGTAGGCTAGTTCTAATCATAGGTGGCTTTCGAGTGCAGAAACTCAGGTCGGGTGGTGCAAACTGTTACAGGACGGGCCCTGTAATCACCCTTTTTACCCCCATTGTGGTGAAGGATCTGACAGCTACCAAAAAGTAATTGCTGGATT